AAGCTGAGATCCGTACGGTTTGTAAGGGAATTCAACTGGGATTCCTCCAATGTGGTAGACATTTCTAGGGTTTTCTGGATTTTGGTGGGTTGATGCTTCCATTTTTTTTCTGGTTTTGCTGTGAGTGAGGAGAGAGAAAGAGGAAGAGGAAGAAGATGAAACTGGGAGAAATCAATTGGCGGGAAGGAAGTTTGAATTTTGGGGTTTTTGGCCGCGCAATGTATTTCGATAGCTTCTACAGCAAGGGTCAAGAGTTCAATGTGTTTTCTGGTTTGGGTTAAGAACTTAATTAAGAGCTTAAGATTGTCAAATCACTCAAATGGCATATTGACTGTTTACTGTTTACGAGAGTGAGTTTCTCTCCCGATTTCAAGACATCCTGAGATTGATTCTCATCACTTGCCCTTGTAGCACTATAAATATAAAAAAAAAAAAATATTGATTGTTTATTATCAAGGTGGGTTTGTGGCGCATTGCTCATATTATTGCGGATATGCAATTGAGAAGGGTTAGGCACTATGAGTATAGAGGAAAAGTTTGCGTCAAACTTGATTAAGTTCGATTAAGGAGATCTTAAAATGATTTGAATTGATTAAATATTTATAAGGATGAGATTTGTGGTGAGTTACAGAAAGTGTTTGGAGGAGCTATAAGGGAGGACTTATGATCTATTAGAGGTGTGGGAGACAAGCAATACTGGAATTATAACCATAGGCTGGCTATTTGGGTAAAGAAGTGATGCTCTATCTACTTTTATAGTGTTAAGAAACTGGATTATGAGAGGCACTGTAATCAAAAGATATAGAGGTTGGGAATGAATCTTTGTTACGAGTATAAGGGCGCAATTTTACATGACAAAAAGAGTAGCATTTTGTAATTTGCTGAACTGATGAGGGGATTGAGAAACTCAATTGCCAAGGGTTGTTGAAGAGAAGTTCCATCGCCTTGGGAAGCGCTTGTATATGGGTTGTTGTTTAAAAATGGAAAGATGGAAGTATATTGTAACACCCCCGATTTAATAACTAATAATAAATAAGAATTAAAGGAAAAAATAAACAACCTTTAAATAAAATTGCGGAAGCATACACCTAAATCGGAGGTATTACCGCCAAACTCAACGATTTGTCAAGTGTGAAGGCTTACAAAATCCCAATAATTACAACCTAATAAATTAGGTGAGCTATTTATACAACTTTACAAACTCGTTATAGCATACTAATCGAAACACTTGAGCTCCTTTAACTACGATCACTTGCTTAACCTGCTTAGAAAATCTTGACTTGCAATCCCTCTATCGAAAGTCCACCCACACGATCAAATCCGCCTTCAATGTATTGGCTTATGTGTTTAGATCTAGGTTCTCACTTTTAGAAGGCAATATTAATTCTCTAATTAATTGTCATATGATCATCTAATGATCTTGGGGTATTTATAAATAAATAACCTCCTTGAAGTAATTATAGTAGCAATAGAAAAGTCGTCCACATAGAACGACTTGTCCTACAAGGACAAGCCAACCGACCACCTCATGTGTGCACCGCACGCCACACTTGTATCCTATGGCAAGTAGCAACCCACAAGCCTCCCAAGCCCAAGCTGCAGCTAGGCTGCTCGGCTAGGCTCTGCTTCTACCACATATTGGTGCGTCAGGCCTTTGGGCCTAGCTTGTCGTTGCTCGTCTTGCTTCATCTTTGTGATCCGCTTGATCCAATTGACAATTTGTGCTTGGACTTGGCGTGTCTATGCCCAACGTCCAACACATTGATCTAAACTATATTTATAAACGTATTTGGGCATTCGGCCCAACCCATGTTACGGTTTGATTTTGTGCTTAGGGTGTGACCCAATAGGTTCAGTCATGCGCAAGCTGTGAGACTAATTATACATTATTCTCACTGATTGAAAGCGGCTTCTAGTCAAGAATTTCGATCACTTGACTTCACTGAATAATTAACTCCTTAATTAACCAACCAGGCCTATCCGAAGGTAGACCCAGCTGCTGCAAGGCCCAGCCAAGTAGCCTAGCTGCGGCTTAGGCTTGCGGGCTGCTACGTGCCTTGGGCACAAGTGTGGCACGCGGCCCACACATGAGGTGGTCAGTTGGCTTGACCTTGTGTGACAAGTCGCCCTATATGGACGACTTTCCTATTCCTAGTAGGATTACTTTAAAGAGGTAATTTTATTTAGATTATTAGATGATCCCACAATTAACTAGAGAATTAATATTACCTCCTAAAAGTGAGAACCTAGATCTAAACACATAACCTTGAGGGTTGTCCGGTATTCTAAGGTAATAAACTCAAGGCAGGTTTGATCTTGCGAGTGGTCTTTTGATAGAGGGATTGCCGAGGAGGGTGGCAGGGGCTGGTGAGGTGGGGTTTTTTTTTATTATTATTATTTTTAAAGTTGTTTTTTTAATTTTTTAATCGATCACGTGATGACACGTGTTTAGTAACTTGTTATAACAAGTTGGATGACCGGTTGGGACCATTAGAAGCAAATTCACATTAAAGTTCGGATTATTAAAAAATAATCCAAAGGTGGGATTATTTTGGACGGATGACAATTTTTCCATGTGAATAAGAAGATAGTATGAGATAGAAAGGCAAAATGTATCATGACCCTTTTTTTTTTTTAAAACCAAAGCAGTTTTCACTATCATTTCTCTCCTCTCTTCCTTCATTGTCTGTAATAGTCTTCTAGTCTAGCCAAAAAATTCATGTTCTAATTTATGTGGGAAATTTGTCAAAATTCAAACCACATATGGCTAAAAATGTCGTACTCGTATAGGACAGAGAAAGGGTATGGAGGAGTGAGGAGGTGAGGAAGCAGGAGTGAGCAGGGGATAGAGAAAAAGAAAAAAAAGGTGAGGATGAGAGTGAGTAAAAGAGAGTGGGGGTGGGGAAGGATGTAGGGCAGAGAGGAGATATGGAGAGATAAAACGTAATTAAAAATTTTAGGATGTAGGGCAGAGAGGAGTTAGATTCCAATTTCTTAGGAGGAACTCCGTATATATGAATTAAATGCTCGAACTTTAAGTTTCAAATTTTTTTTTTTGATATTATGAAAATGCCTAGATATCTCAGTTGTGTGCTCGTTGATACCTCTAATTGTTGTATATATATTCATAATAACTATAGGCTTCAATTCTACTCTAACATATTGGATTAGCTTCTTAATCCACCGAATTCCCTCCCTATGAGCCTATGATAAATTATATTAGCTGCCCTCCAATGGCTATCTTTTCTTCACGTATTGCCCAATTACGGACTCACTCGAACTTTCTTGCTCTTTGTATAATATTTGGCTAAGTCGTGTGTTTTGAGAAGGAATAATTGGGGATTTTATACACCAAAAACGACATACATTTTTCAGGATTAAAGAGATAAATTTGCGAATAAGGTAGAAATTCATCTTCTCTTTATCTTGCCTTGAATTTCGGAGGATAATCACCATTCTTCTTGGGGATAAAACTTTGATACGGTGGGTTTGGTTCCTTTGGTTTTCACGCACCTCTTCCTCCTTTTCTTCTTATCTTCTTCTTTTTTTTTTTCTTTTTTCTTTTTTTTTTTCCCGTTTTTTTGTTTCTTTTTATTTGATGATGAAGGAGCACGTGAGTCTTTGAGTAGCAAAACAAACTCCTTTTGGTTGTTGGTAAGTCCAATTTATTTTTCTCTTATTTTCCTACAAAAAAAAAAAACACACAACATGATATTAAGTATCATTTATTATAAAAATAGCTATAAAATAAAATACTAACATAAACTAAGAACTAAAATTATTAAAGTGAATAATTATTTCATAAAATAACTAATTAAAAGCGATTATAAGACTAATATTAGGGACTAAAAATGTGGTATATTATGCACTTGTCACGAGGCAAATTTGATGTTGATATTGCCGAAGCTTTAGCTATGAGGCATGCCTTGAACATCTCTCTAGATTTGGGATTTAGGGTGGTTTATTTGGAAACTGATTGTCTAAAGCTGTATAACCATCTAGCAAAGGGTATTGCATCTCCAACAACATTCGGGATGGTCGTCAATGACATTCTTTAGCTCGCTCAAGGCTGCCAAAGGGGAGATAATTGTGTAGCTCATGAACTAGCTAAACTAAGTTGTACTTTTGATGATCTTAGAGTTTGGATGGAAGAGTTCCTAGTGAAATTGCTGAGTTTGTAATGGTTGACTTAAGTCTTTCGGTTGATTAATTAATTTTTGCTTGCATTTCTGTAAAAAAAAAAAAAAAAACAAAAAAAAAAAAAAACACTTCAATAGATTTCCCCTCCCAAATTACCCATTTTCCCTACTAACCCATTTTGTTATTAAACTTTTATCATTTTTTTTAATGAAAATAAGATCTAAATTTTAGGAAAGGATAACTCTTAAAATAATTTTTCAAACTAAATTCTTTCTTTTTTCACTGACCATCAATCTAAATAATTTGTACGGAGTAATTAACTAATTTCATAACTCCATTTGTTTTCCTATATATATATATTAAAATCGTGAATTTTTATTGCTTTGTTTCAATCATTTTGTCCCTTTAAAATTATTTTTGTGTTTTTATAGATTTAGATTCTATGAAATTGTCATGGCTTATTAACTCTTATGTCATCGGTATTATTAAAATTAAAAAGTATATCATCATAATGCAATTAATTTTTTTTTTCTTCTATATTTGCAAAACCGAGCATCACTCGAGGATTATTACCTAGTACTATACTAAAGCAGAAACCGCTTTAGCAGATTTCCCTCCCAAATTACCCCATTCCCTCCTAACCCACTTTATTATTTTACTTCTATTTCGATTTATTGTTTTGTAATGAAAATAAAATCCTAAAAATGAGGAAATAATAACTTCTAAAGTAATTTTCAACCTACCTAGTCTTTCTTTTTACTATTACTATGAAACTATAAAATTGGTAAGTACCTAAAATCGCGAATTCATTGCTTTATTTCAATTTTTTTTCCTTTAAATAAATAAACGACGAAAATACAGGAATAGGAGTATTAGTTTTACATGAAAGCGTAGAGGGAGAATGTACCACTGGTCTGAAAAATTGATAAAAACCAAACAAAAACTGCTTGATTAGCTGTGCAATTTTTTCTCTCTTCATTTTCTTCTACTCTTCACTCTTTCTCTCTCTTCATCTTTCTCATCTGACTCCTTCAATTTCTCCAACCTCTTTGTTGGGGAGAAATTTAAATCCCTAATTTCACTCTCAATTTACACTTTTTTTTTTTTTTTTTTTTGATGTACTAATTATTTAGTTCGATTAATTCCGGGTTTGAAGATTTTAAAATGGCGGGTCAAAATCAAGGAGGAGCAGGAAATATGGATCAATTTGAGGTGTTTTTTAAAAGGGCAGATTTGGATCATGATGGTCGGATTAGTGGTGCTGAAGCTGTCGCTTTTTTTCAAGGATCTGGGTTGAATAAACAAGTTCTTGCTCAGGTTTTGCTCTTTTTGATTTCTTTTTTCAATCTTGGTTGATGATTTCTAGGGCATTATTTGCGAACTGGGATTTGTTTGTTATATTAAAGTAGCAGTGAATTTGTTGATGATGTGAATTGTTAATTCAAATGGGAGCTTAATTATTTTAGAAATTTGATTAAATTGGGTAAGTTGTGAATTTTGGGTGCCTTTTTGTGGTTATTGAGAACAATTTTAATGCTATATGCTCGAATATTTAGTTGTTTACGAGTATTTATCTTATATCCTAGCTCAAATTGCTAAGATTGTGAGAAAAGTCCAGCAATTTTATGGATTAGTTGGTTGAGTTTTACCGGAACCCCAATGTTGAGTAGACTTGTCGTAGGAGGTATATACGTAGTACATAGGATGGCTGTCCTTAGTTGAACACTTTTGTTGAAAAGGAAGTTTATGGCATCCGAGAGGCGAGCGGTCACATTTTGAGAGAGAATTTGTATAGAGTAGGTATTTTTCTACGAAGTATATGGTCATAGGCTTTTATGGTAGAACTAGTGATGTGAACATCTAGTAATGAAGGTAGTCTTCCTCCTGTATTGATATGGAGGCTTAAAAAGTTACTTTGTCAATGCTCCAACAATTGTGTACTGAAATAGCTACTGATGTGTGTTTGTTCGATTGGCTGTAGATATGGATGCATGCCGATCAGAATCGTGCAGGTTTCCTTGGTCGTCAAGAGTTTTATAATGCTCTGAAGCTGGTAACAGTAGCACAGACTAAGCGAGAACTGACTCCTGAGATTGTGAGGTCAGCATTGCATGGACCAGCTTCAGCCAGGATCCCTCCTCCACAAATAAATCTACCTCCTGCCGCTACACCTCAAGCATCTCCTGTGCCTAGTTCACCTGCAATGTCGATGGGTTCTGGGATGCCTACAGCGTCACAAAATCTTGGTTATAGAGGGCCTTTACCACCTAACCAGAACATGCAGCAGCAATATTTCCCATCTCCAGGGAACCAATTGACGAGGCCTGCTCAAGGTCTGCCAACTGGGGTTCCAGCCTCTAATTTGTCATTTCCTGGTCGTCCAAGCTTAGGCATGTCGACCCCTGGTTTCCAGAGCTCGGGCATGTCTACCCCTGGTTTCCAGAGCTCGGGCATGTCGACCCCTAGTTTCCAGAGCTCAGGCATGTCGACCCCTGGTTTTCCAAGCCTAGGAATGTCGGCTCCTGGTGTCCCAAGTTCTGGAATGGCTCCATCTGTTGTTCCAAGCTCAGGAACATCTACTCCTGGTCATCCACACTCTAGTGTCTCAGCCAATTGGATGGGTGGAAACATGAGTGGGGCTCCTTATGGACAAATGTCGCAAGTTTCTAATGTGGGGACCACTCCATCTACTCCACAAAATATGCCAGTGACCATCCCCCAAGCTGCAAACAATAGCTCTAAAGCAACAGCTGCTTCTGGAGGTGACCCTTTTGCTGCTTTTTCAATGACCAAACCAGGTGCTTCTCCAGCAACATCTTCAGCTATAGTTCCTGTGTCTGCTTCAGCCCCAGCATCCTCTATAACAACTTCGTCGGCAATCGTTCCTTTAGCCTCTTCAACACAGGCTCCATTAAGATCAAATTCTCTTGATTCATTACAGAGTGCCTTTGTGAAGCAGCCTGTTGGGGGTGGTCAGTCACATCAGGCACAAGCTTTCTCGAATCTGTCTCAGTCTTTACCTCAAGTCACTTCCTCTGGTGTTTCACCTGGACTTTCAGCTGGACCTGTTAAGTCTATTTTAGAACAATCCCAGCCACCATGGCCAAAGATGACTACTCCAGGTATACAAAAATATACCAAAGTTTTCACAGAGGTGGATACTGATCGAGATGGAAAAATCACGGGTGAACAGGCACGTAATTTGTTCCTGAGCTGGAGACTACCAAGAGGTAAACTGCTGTTCTTATTTTCATATTTTAAAAAATGAATTTCCCAGTGTAGCAGTTGGTTTCAACATTTCTGTATATGACCTCTCACCATCTTCCCCATCCGTGTTTTTCATCTGAATGCTTAATTTTCGCAATGTAAAATTTGAGGCTTTGCTGTTTTATTGTTATCAGGGTGTGGCCCTTGGATTATTTTCTCCACTTATCAGGTTTTTATATTTGCTTCACTAATTCTTGCTGCTATGAAGAGCTGCCAGTTGCAATTTTTGATGAAGAAATTTAGATTTAAGATTTGGAAATAAAAATCTCTGGATTTATTAATTGATAAAGAATATGATGATATGAACTATAATTTTCAAAATCATGCTCTCACCTTTGTGTTGGTTAGTTGGATATATTATTTTCTTCATACAAAGTTAATCTTCATTGAACATTAGAAAGCTTGTGATATTTTATGCTGATAAGGAATTTAATGTATTCTTTAATCACTCACAATATTTCTTTGTCTCAACTTGAAGCCTAAATGGATTTTGACTTTGGCCCCCATACCCTTGAACTGAGTTCCTGTCTGTTGAATTTTTTTCATGCCAAGGTTGGGATACTTTGATCTACACCCTTATTTGGCTTGTATCCCCAAGTTCCCCTAACATTTTTGTGGGATTGTCTGTTAAATGTTTTGAATTCACAATTTTGCTTAAACTGGCAACTGGAGAGTGGAGACCTAAGTAGTATTTTGGTATGGGGATCAAATGAACTGCAATATTCCCCCCTGCTCTCTAGAATTTCAAATGGTTAGAAGAGGATTTGTACTTAGTTTGCTGGATGTGCTTTAAAGAATTACTGTTGATCTTTAAGAGATTGAAACTTCCAAAATTTCCTTGTAAAGATTTGAAGATGATTGACCCCTCTCCATAGCCTCATTCTTTGACCTAGAGCCTAGGCAAGTAAGGGAATCACAAAGGAGAAAATTCCGACACAACTATTAGGTGCAATGTTTCCGAGCATCAGGAGAATCAGACAATCAATTCATACTTCTTTGTCCTCTCAACTTGAATACAATGAAGTTCTTTGATTCAATATTTTTGGTAGTTAATGAGTGGAATATTTTTAAAAGTAATTCTGCTCTGTAGAGCAAATTGTAATATGAATACTAATTAAAAATTATCAGGGGTGGGGAGGAGAAGAGGGGGGGGGGGGGAGGGGGGCGAGGAAGTGATTTAGAAGCCTCACTTAGAGCTAATGGGTAGATATAGAATTTTCTTCAATAAGTTGATGAGTTCATTCAATGGTAGAGAGTGAAGCAATTGATATAATCCCAAGTTGCCCCCTTGTATAAATGGACAAAATGGGTTTGATATGTGATTAAATATACTTAAGTAGTTTAAGATTAAGAATTCATGTCAAAATCTTGTTTTAATTAGTGTAATTAATGTTGGATTAGTACTTAATATTTCCACTTTTAGATTCTTATATCAAAACCAGACGTCATTTTCCTTAAAAAAAAATTATTAGAAAAGCAATGGCAATTGACAACTACAAGGTGTTGGCATTAAGAAATGAAACCAATGTTTTTTGTGGTAAGGGAAGTAGAAAAACCTTGGTTGCTGCCTAGAATTGAACAAGGCCACAAGATACACCCATTTTCAGATTTCTCAAACACCCAACAAGCTGGCAAGGCGCATGACCACCACAGAATCCTCCCTAATTCTATTCCTATTTTGGAGAAGCAATAATGAGAATTGGGTTGTTGAAGTTTGGAAGCTGGTTCCCTTTAGTAGTTTGGCAGAGCTTGCGAATCAACATAAATTTGTTGACTTGGCATTGTTAAGTACTTCGATAGGCTTTTGTTAAGTTTCCATTTTGAGCGTCACTACTCCATTTAGGTTGTTTAGATACAATCACAAAATCTATAAGTAGAGGATTTGATTTTTATCTAGCTTTCTTGCCTGAGTGTTACTATGTTTGTTAGAGCTTGATGTGTTTTTCTTAGTCCTTCTTTGGTGTAAGGTTGGTATCTTATAATACAAGTCTTAAAGTTGAGTCTTGTGAAAAGGAGATCTATTGATTGAAGCAAGGGAGCTGTGTGAATCTAATACTCAGGTATTAAAGACAGATTTATTGATTAGAAGAATTGGGATGTTTGTCAATAAGGATCATATTGTTGGCTTAGATTGTCTTAATACCAACATACGTTGAATATGTTGGATATGAAGATAGTGAGTTAATATATGTTTTGGGTAATGAAGTATTATTGATATCAATTGCATGAAAACAAAGAGGTTACCGAGCTGTCATATACAATAATAAATCCAAACCATATACATTGTAATAAGAATGAATATAATGATGCCCTTTCTAAGATGTCCTATATTGTGAATTTGTGATGGTGATGATTATTGGGGCTAGAGCACTATTGTTTAATGCTATCTTTCAATGATAGGATGATATTTTGATGTGAACTTTCAAAGTTATGATAACCAAACATTATTTGTAAGGGAGTGGCGTTATACTGTTGCAATTTGTTTGGGGGTAACTACAAAAATTTATCAATCCTGAGAGAAACTTTTTTTTTCCCCCTCTTTTTTTTTATTTTTTTTATTTTTTATTTTTTTTTATAAAGGCTTAATTTGCCTTTCTGCTTGTATACATACCACCTATATCCATCACCAGAAATCGCTTTAGGGTCCGAAACCCACTCTCATGAGTCTCATCTAGAAAGGATTGTGGGCAAGGGCTCATCATATTTTTATTTAAACGCAAAGCATGATAGTATCTTAAAACAAAGGACTATGAAGGAACAACCCCTGAGATAACTGACAAAGGTGCTGGATGCACTTGTCAGCGTTGCACAAAGGACAGACAGGATTCCTCATTCTATAAAAGGTGGCAAGTTTGCTCTAAAGAGAAACTCAAGGAATTTATGCTATATGTTGGATTTTGTTTATAACATCAGTTCAAAATATACTAGAGGAAGTTAGCAAATGCATTAATTATGTTAGGCTTGTATGTTACTCCTGTTTGATTGATGTAAAATAAGCATATTACTCCCTCTTATATACTTCGTGTATTTTTTTCCTGTCTCATGTCTATAGCTTTAGAGACAAGCACTCTAGCAATCCGTATAAATGCTCTGCTCATTTTATGATCCAATTTTATTTTTCAGAGGTTTTAAAGCAGGTGTGGGACTTAGCTGACCAGGATAATGACAGCATGCTTTCATTGAGGGAGTTCTGCATAGCCCTATTTTTGATGGAGCGGTATAGAGAAGGGCGTCCCCTTCCAGCTTCACTTCCCAATAGCATTATGTTAGATGAAACTCTTATGCGGATGTCAGGTCTTCCAAATTCTTTGCATGGCAATGCAGCATGGGGAGCAGCATCTGGTGCTGGTATGGTTAACAACACTCTTATTTCTCTGACACATGTCTTTTTTTCATTCTTCTTGTTATTTTGCTTAGTGGTCCCTTTTTTTGAATTAGGTTACAGGCCAGCACAGGGAAACGCTGCTTCCTCACCTGGTGCAGCTGGTTTGAGGCCAGTCATGAATTCAGTTCCTCAGCCTGACATGACCATGCAATTCCAGCAGCCAAAGTCAAGAGCATCTGTATTGGATAATTCCCAAACAAACCATTTTAGTGACGGCGACAAGGATTTGCTGCAACCAAGTGCTCTAGAAACAAATAATGCAGAAAATAAGGTATTGGCTTTCAATATGCTTATTACGATGGTAATACTTGGCATTTCTTGGTTTCATAGCTAAAATACAAGCCATTCCTGATTTTGTATTGTTGGAAATTGGAGTCAAGCATTAAGTTTTGAGTGATAATTGACGTTTGTTAATTTTTAGTTACAGTACATTATGATGGTCCAAGGACATTTTTTCTTTCCGTTTTTTCCTTTCATGCCCTCCTTTTGTCCACTAGTGATCCTCCCTTAGCGTCTCTCTATTATCTCTTAATTACTTTTAAAATAGATCCTACAAATTACGCAGCACGAAATGCTTTCATGGTTAATGAATAAAAAGGCTCAAGGTGCTCCAAGGCGTTCCGAAGTTCCTTGCGCCTAAGGCACGCCTCATTGAAGTGAGGTGCATATAATTAACAATAAAAAAAATTCTGAAAAAAATATGTTGCTCGGGGTGCGTGCCTCAGTGCGCCTTAAGCTGCGCCTCATCGAAATCGCCTTGCCTAGACCATAAAAAGCGCATGACCCCTAACGCCGTGCGCCTCAGCGCCTAACTTTTTCAAACACTGTTCATGGCTCTTATGTCTTTGTAGATATATGTTCTATAATAGTTTCTTTGAGTACTTTTCCATGTTCTCAATGACCTTAACACTATGTTTGGATAGAGAGAAATGGAGGGAAAAGAACAGAAGAGAAGAGGAGGGATGCATCATCCATTGTTAATGCAAGGAGGGAAGGGGAGAGAAATGGAAGGATCCATTTTCCTTCCCCTTTCCTCCATTGTTGGAGAAATTTGGAAGGAAAATGGAATGTCACCTTCCCTCTTTTTCCTTCCCCTCCCTTTCCCTTCCCTCTTTTTCCTTCTCCTTCCTTTCCCTTCACTATTGTTATCCAAACATAGTGTAAGGGTAGCTCCCTTGGTGTTTTTCATTTCATGTAGCTACAAACTTTATCTTTAATCTGTTTATGATTATCCAGCCTTTTCTTCTTATACATCTTCTCTAGTGCTACCTGATAAGATCAGTAAGAATTAGCAGTGACCTCTTTAAATTTTTGGGTTTTTCTAAGCTATGCCCCTAAGGTAGTCGAGTTTCTAAGGTGTACCCATGCTTTTTCAAATTTCTAAGTTATGCCCCTCAACTCACTACCATTAATGAATGGTACCCTCCTTGGGACTTCTACGTCACCTAAAGTTAACTATAAGTTTAATTAAAAGATGATAAAAGGTAAGGAAATGATAGGAGAAAGAAATCTTAGCCACCGCAACCCTAATAACGAAAACTGAAGCCACGAAATCACACTCTCAATTAACTTTTAAACAACTAATAAGGGTACATTTTAGTATTGATAACTAGTTGAAGGGCACGGCTTAAAAACTTGAAAAAGCATGGGTACACCTTAGAAACTCGACTACCTTAGGGGTATAGCTTAGAAAAACCCTAAATTTTTTTATTACTACAGCTTTTTACAAGGCTGTTTATTTCCTTGAGAAAACGGAGCTATAGGTGGATATATTTTGTTTGTTTGTTTCCTGTGCAATTCATCAGTTTATAGAGGGACACCTTTTTAGAAATTTGAGCAGCGCACTAGTTATATTTAATACTGCATAGTATTGATTTCACAGTGAGAACTCTGAGAAGTGATCACTCTCTACCAAATCTGTTATCCTCATCAATATGATAAAAACTTAAGTGCTCCCTGATTTATGTATGCATAGCTTTTATAAGTTGATTGTGCTGTCTGGTGAGGATGCATGAACAGTGGGGAGAACGTGATGCACATAGTTGAAGCAGTTTCCACTTCAAAGAGACATTGGAGTTTCTAGTGACATTGTAGCAAAGAATAGGATTCTCAGTAGTCTAAGGCTAAAATTATGAAATGCTGGTTGATATTTTGTACTTAGATTCTGGTTATTGTAGTGTATGGGATGCTAATAAGAATCTATCACATTTTCCCCGGCTCAAATATTTCTGACTTCAAATGCAGTATATTCTATACAAGTTGGGATTAGATCTTTGAAATCAAGTACTTGCCTGATTTCAATTTCAAGGCAAGACAGTAATCAATTTGCATTAGGAATCTTACTTGTCTAACTACTGTATTTATTTGTGTTACTCCAATATTGTCCAGTTTATGTTGTATTATGACATTGGTTGCTTCCACATGCATTGACCGCACTGCTTATATTATTTCGAGTATTGAAATTGTTTTTACTTTCTGTTTTCATCTACATCAGAATCTTTAACTTTTGTTTCATGAATTGAAGGTTGAAAAGGTGGAGAAAGTATATCTAGATTCCAGGGAAAAGCTCGAGTTCTACCGTACAAAAATGCAGGAACTTGTGAGTATATAAGTTACAGATTTTTTGTACACTTTTATGAATCTATTGGCGTAGCTCACTGAACCTTCAATTCTTTCTATGCGGATGTGTATTTTTCTTTAAGCAGGACTGTAGTAATAATTTATACCCTGGGCTAAATGAATTAAAATTTGAGTAGAAGTTTACTTTGATTGTATAATCTTTACCATGCAATGGTATTTTATTTTTTCCCTTTTTCTTTTGCTATTAGTATGCTGTTAAAGTTTATCAGTTATTCATTTTCGAAATCTGACAAGTAATTGGGTTCATTGATGGCTGCTGGGTAGGTCATAAAATTAGACAGTGACGAACAAAAAACTGTCATACCATTATCCCAGTGCTGGGTTTTTGTTTTGTTTTGTTTTTCAGTGAGAGAGGGGGTGAAACCTTCATCTCAAAGAATTTGTTTCTGATTGACCCCTGATCCAGAAGGAAATTAGCTTTACAAATTTTTGACCAAAGTAGAGGATTGTGTGAAGGTCTACTTGAATATTTGTTGATTCTATTGTTGTCCAAACTTTATGAAAGTTCCCATCAGAAACTCTTTTAAGTTTTTTTTTTTTTCGGAAAATGAGTAGATAGCAGTAAAACTCTGCAAGTAATCTCTTGCTATGCTGTTCTCAGATTGGAAGATCCCACTCATTAATGAAATATAAAAGGATATTACTTGCATTTAAAATCTTGTAGGGACAACTAAAATGGGAAAAATGATACTAATATCAGCAATCAACTTGACTGCCAGTATCATGATTGAGATACAAGCTTCAATATTTTTTATTGTAAAATTTTTTATAGGGCACTTACAGAGGGATCAACGCATCCTGAATATGTGAGATAGTCCAATTTTCCATCGCTACAGAGACTTTGACTTTTCATTTGATTGGATGTTGATCCCAAATTTTAAAGTGCAGTTAGAGTACTGTTGGCTCTGCGTAGTGTTGAAACTGGGTTGGGAATTTTCATTCCATAGTGTGCATTTCAGTCGCACTTGTATCTACTTGGTTAGTTTTATTTATTTGAAATATTGTTATGAATGTCAATCTTGATTTATTTTATAGGTTCTATACAAAAGTCGATGTGATAATCGACTGAATGAAATCATTGAGAGAGCATCTGCAGACAAGCGTGAGGTAAATCATATGTCCAGGGAATTTCATAAATTGCATTATCCCTCAACCCACATGTATCTAACAAAGTGATTTCTCAGGCGGATTTACTGGGAAAGAAATATGAAGAAAAATATAAGCAAGTAGCAGAAATAGCTTCCAAGCTAACTATTGAAGAGGCTAATTCCCGAGAATATCAGGTAATTCTTTCTTGATTGGCATTTTGTGGCAACTTGGCCACCTATGGAAATGATTATTCCATGATGTGTGCAAAATTGGTGCCTTTGGTGGTCTACGACTTTCTTTGATATTGTTCTATTGCAATCCTGGGCAGCACTAAAATTTAAGTGACAAATTGTTGTGTGGTTGAGGTCTCTTCATCTGTATTCTTTCTATAATGTATAACCTATGGTATCTACTAATTAAATTTATGTTTTTTTCTTCCTTAGAATTTTACTCGCTTGTGCAGTTGTGCTTGAGGGAATAGGTGTACTATGATTATTCCATGCAATGGGGTCATTTTCTTACTGATTTCTCTATTATGTCTTTGCTTCTGCTATTCCTTTCTTTCTTCCTTTATTCCCTTACTTTTACTTGGAGAGAGTGTTTTTTCCCTCTTATATTATTGCACCATCTTTTTCACAAAGTTTGACTATTCACCTATCTTAATTTCGTTAATGAATTAACTGCTCTGTAATTTGAGTCTACTCATGTCTTGATAGCTTTCTGTTAGGAGTATATGATAGGTTGGTCGTTGCATAAAATTTTAGTCTCAAAGGTTAGGTTTTGTTTTACACTTCTGTCTTTATTCTGTTCAGGGGCGAAAAGCAGAGTTACAGCAAGCAATTATTAACATGGAACAAGGTGGAAGTGTTGACGGTATTCTTCAGGTAGAGTTCACCATATAGTTTATGATAACACATGAATTTTGCTTTCAATTCTAGACCTGTATCCATGAGTTTCTCTTTTTATAGGTACGTGCTGATAGGATACTGTCAGATTTTGAGGAGCTCCTAAAAGCTTTGTCTGAACGCTGCAAGAAACATGCAATAGAGATTAAGTCCGCAGCATTGATTGAGCTTCCTAAAGGTAGTTTGAGTCTCTTAATCTTGCTTCACTTTTAACTTCTCCCTTTCATAATTTCCAGTTACGTCTGATGTATTGTTACATTATATCATATGTTGGGAATATAATGCATGTTTAGTGTTCGCTTATAGTGTGATAAAATGAAGCTAATTGTGAACTGACCTGAATATGGTTATAATCTTAAAGCCACATTATATCATATGTTGGGAATATATTGCATGTTTATTGTTTGCTTATAGTGTGATAAAATGAAGCTAATTGTGAACTGACCTGAATATGGTTATAATCTTAAGGCTGGCAACCTGGAATTCAAGAAGGAGCTGCTGTCTGGGATGAAGAATGGGACAAGTTTGATGATGAAGGTATGCATTGTAGGAATTTTGTTGCTCACCTTTTGTTGATGAAGTTGTTCATATTGCAAACTATATTATTTCTAGAGAGCTTCAAAATTTTCCTTTATTGCACGAAGAGAGTAAAAACAATAAAAAAATGGTGTCTAATCACTTTATTTCTTCAGGACTCCAATTTGACAAGGAGGTCGGTACGGACACACAAACTGCTAAGACTTCTCCGAGATCTACATTATTTGAGAATGGAACATACTCTCATGATGATGTATATAGCCCTGATAGTAAAGGTGAACGTGCTTTTGATAGTGAATCTGCTTACCCCCATAGTGAAGATGATTCAGCAAATAGCCCACATGGAAGTCCAGTACCTCGAGCATCACAAGATTTTTCAGATATTTTTGCAAAGAGCGAGGCAGATACAGATTTCCAGCAGTATGTTTTGCCCATTCTTTTGCTTTTTTGTTCAACAGTTTCACTTAAAATCATTTTTTTTTATTTAAATAATTTCTCTTTTGTCCTCCACAGAAGCTTTGATGACCAGGGTTGGGGCAATTTCGATGGTACTGATGATGCAGATTCAGTTTGGGGATTTAATTCCAAGGTAAGCTGGTTGCATCAGTACGCATTGGATCAAATATTCTTCTTCCCTTGTCCGGAAATGATTGTCACATTGTCCCAGTACCTTGTGATTAAGGATGTGACTTGATTTTAATCTCACACTAGTATTTAATGTTTATCTCTATCCCTATTTTTTAAATATATGTGACTCTGGATGTAAGGAGTATATTTCTGTCTTCATCTTTTCATCTAAAGATTTGTTCTTTCATCCTTGCAGGACCAGCATGGTGATCGTCTGTTTGAATCCAGTGGCTTTGGTTCAAGTCCTAGAACAGATTCTCCACAAGGGGACAGCAGTTATAATAAAAGAAGCCCATTCAATTTTGCTGACTCCGTGCCTGGAACACCATCATTCTCTAAGTCTGGTAACTCTCCAAGATATAGTGAGGCTGGGGACAACTTCTTTGATAATTACTCAAGGTTTGATTCCTTCAACATGAATGAAAGCAGTCGGTTTTCTCCACCACGTGAAACCCTTACAAGGTTTGACTCTGTAAGTAGCAGCAGGAGTGGCTTTGGTGGCCATAGTCGAGGATTTACTTCGTTTGATGATGCAGATCCCTTTGGATCCTCTGGACCTTTTAAGGTCTCCTCTGAAACACCCAAGAAAGCTTCAGATAATTGGAGTTCATTCTAGTTCATTGGGTTTTGTTCTAGGATCAACTCCCATATTCTTCATTTTGTGGAACAAGTGATATGTAGCAGCCATTTTTCGTGTGCTTGTATAGTTTTAGTCTTGTGTAAATTCATCGGTATTTGTTCCTTTGTAATGTTTTGTAGACCTGCAATATGTTTCTCCTGGCATATAGAAACCAGAAGAACGTTGTGCATTATTAATTCATTTGTGAATTGTGTCAGCTCTTCGCCTGGTTAGGAGTGAAACGAGGTAGAAAAAAGAAACTACTCCATAATGAACGATCAACACATTGAAATTACATTGTCAAGGTACTGAATTTGGTAGTATTATTCTGTTTAATCTCATGAATTGTTTACGTTGGATATGAGTTTCTAGGTAATTTTGCTCGCCTTTACAAGGCCACTTGTGAAGTCTCAACATTAACATCTCGCTTTTATAATGTGAAATTGTGGGGTCAGAACATCAATATAGAAAGGGCCTTTGCAAACGTAATGGTCCTAATTATTGTCATAGTGAAACTGATCAGAGATTGAGATTAGAGCTTTTACTCTGTTCCAAAACTTATTAATAAATCATTATTTTTTTTGATAAATATTACTAAATCATTGTCTAATATTAATAAGCTAAGATTTATTCTTTATAATAATATACTACTCTGTTTCATTATAGTTGACACGTTTATTTTAGGTCATTTATAGAAAATCATAACTACAGAAAATCATAGCCTCAACATTTCTGATATTTTCGGTGAGAGTTGACAAGAAAACAAGTCAACCCCATTCAGTCACGGAAACTGGTTATAAGGTGAAACCCGTGAGAGGGCTCCTGCAAAGCTACAAATCCGTCTAAACATCAAATTTCCGAGAATGATACTGCATCATAGGAAAATCACCTAGATGGCCACATGTATTTAACTTACACAAATTGAAGGGTCATACGATGTATGTAACTTACACAAATTGACTAGATTTGACATACTTGACAAACACAAACCTTTAAATAAAACGGATGTTCAGTAATTACTGAACATCCATTATAAAGTGACAATAAAATACGCAAAAATTACACTAAAACGCATAAAAGTTACCTTGATATATATGAGTTATTTATGCTTCATTGATAAATTTGACAAAAGTGACACTAAATTTGACAAAAGTGACATTAAATCTGACAAAAGTGTACCCGATGTACAGTAAATTACTGAAAACTAGGTGTATACAAAAGTTTTCCCTTGACAAATGCCTTATATTATAATGTGTTTCTTATGTCCCAAATACTTCCTTCGATTTTAATTAGTGGCACCATTTTGAGTTTAATGTAAAACGTTGCCAGATGCCTTACAATAATACAATGTGCTCCCTTATTTCTCCAACGGCTGTAACTGAAGTTCACAATAGTCTTGCAGCACTCTCTTTCTCTCTCACATACAGACAAACTTAACGTTCCAGTCCTCCAAAACTTATAATCATATCTACAAGTAAGTTTTCCACAATCTCCATTCTTTAATTTTATTCAAATCATGTTAATTTCTTTATGTTGAATCGAATTGTAATCAAATCTGCAAATAAGTTTTCCACAACCAAAATGTTCACTTGAACTAATGTTAATGTCATATTATGTACTATAATTTTCTTCCAGGAGACCCATTTCGATTAGATTGTATTCTGTGATTTTGACTAGTTGATGGGTTTTCCGCAATTTGATGTAAAAATGTTACGAAGTATCTTTTATTTACAATTGCTATTCGCCTATTCCCAAATTAAAATAAAATAAATAAATCATGCTTGTTCTTGTTGGTTGTTGGTTGCTTTTGGTGAATTATTTTTCTTGAAAAAAAAATTATTAATTGCTTAATGGTGCAATAAAAAAAAAGTCAAGTTTATTATACGCTCTTATTTGCTCTAACAACGGAATTAAGATTAATGATATTAAGTAATTCCATGAGTATGTGATTTCCAATAACTAAAATTAATTAAAAAGATATTGATCATTTGTACTCTTGCTTTCTTTAACTTTTGTTCCTGCAACTACTATGAAATGGACAGGTAAAGATGACACCAACCACACCATCCTAATATATTTAAGTATAGAGGTAATCATAAGGTAGTATCTTACAATCATAGGAAATTTCATCCACTTAGTCGTAACCAAATTAGGCCAATGCTAATTTCTTTCTGGTTTCCATAGTTTGAATTAACAATGTGTTCGGATTAGCGGATGAAAATAGATAAGAAACGGAGGGAGAGTGATGATTTAATGATTTATGCAACTTCCTTCATTTGGATATGACTTGTTCTGGAAGTTGAGAAGATTTGGACAGAAAGCACGAGCCCAAGTCTCCTTTCCATTCCTTTCTTTTGTTCCCCTCCATTCCCTTAAAGGTGAATAGGTGATTAAGGAATTTGAGTTGATCATAAAATGGCTCTTTTGCTACTAGACTTTGGTTGATTGATGGGCCAAAGAAATTATCTATTGCATAGCCATAAATCATTGTAGTGTTTGGGTGTGGTATAATAAGCTCCCTCCTGTTATCGTGGAATAATAAGGCATCACTAAGAATTATTCTACTCCTCACTACCTCAACCTCCGAAACAAATTACTGTTTCCCCTTTTGTATATTTGGGTTTCTGATTTGTGTACAGTATAGTCCGAAGTAAGACCAAGCTCCAAATCCTCCTTATTTTGTGTCTAATCTATGCATGAAACATCACACTTTGCATCAACAGCGAAAACAATCCCTGAAATCGATTTTGATGGATGATTTGTAGGTGCTGAGATGGATAATGCTCAAATTATGAAAGGAGATAAGCTAGTATTAAGGGGGTTGAAGTTTCATGGATTTCATGGGGTGAAACCTGAAGAAAAAAAACTGGGTCAGAAATTTGCGGTGGATGTAGATGCCTGGATGGATCTGCACAAGGCTGGCATATCAGACTTCTTGTCTGACACTATCAGCTACTCTGAGATTTATCGGTGAGTATTAAGTTATTGATAAAGTTATCTTTGAGGATGCTTTTAAATGAGATTTTGGATGCAGAGGTTCGTAATGTGATAATCTTTTTGCTTTAGCACAACTTTTGTGTTCGTGTTTGTGTTGATAAATTACTTGCTTGGTCTTTCATATAACTTGATTTGAGTCCATTGTTCCAGAACAATGATCGACATCAATTGAGTGCTACTTTCAAATAATCCTGAGTTTGTAGTTATATGGTTATAGGTCATAAGTTTTGAAGTTATAATTCTAGTCCATGCACAAGCATGTGCACAATCAAAAAGCTGTCACGAATCTCACGATGTTAGAAGATTTGTTGAAACTTCTGCTGATTTGTGTCAAGTAATTAACTGATTCAGGAAAATACCCTTCTGAAAGTTACAATTTCCTTTTGATGCAAAGTTTACAACTATATAACAATCTACAATCTGTTGGGAACATCAGTGGTCCTCTTAAGGAAACTGTACTGAAATTATAAATAAAAGGTCTCTCCACTCAAATCATTTTTTGCAATTATAATTTTCGTTCCATATACTTCGATTATCTTGTCAAGTTGTCATATTGTTATTACTACCACTGACATGCTTTTCTTGTGTAAATTTACAGTATAGTCAAGGAGGTGGTTGAGGGAGCTTCTCGGGATCTTTTGGAGTCCGTAGCTCAGCAAATCGCAACTATTACCTTTACTAAGTTTTCTCAAATATCTGCTGTACGTGTGGAGGTTAAAAAACCTCATGTTGCAGTTCAAGGCCAATTAGACTAATTGGGAGTTGAAATTTTCCGCTCAAGACCTGCTGACGTAATATGATCTTTGTCATAATCCTTAGTCCCTTGCTCCTAGTAGGGTGTGTGTAAACTTGTAATGCAGAATTGTAGACACCTAAAAATATCTCCCCAAAATCAAATCCGATGATGAACAACATTTCACCGCCATTATTGGTCGGGGCGAGTATTTAATCTCGGGAATGCTTAAAACCCATATTCAGTCGACAGTCCACAAATCAGTCCAAACATGTAGTCAAACACAGTCCTACCCGCATTTTAACCCAAACCATTTTAATCTATTTTAATTCATTTCGTTATATTTATTAATTAAGCTCGATTAATAAAATAACAAAACCCTAAACCTGAAATAAGCCCAGAACAGCTGAAACAACGCCTAAAGATCACGTCCTTAATGCTTAAGAAATAGGGTTAAAATGAATTTGGACGGAAATCTAGAAAACAGATTTGCCGTGTCACGGCAGAAATGCCGCGCAACGGCAATATCTGCCGTGTCACGGCAAACTGCACCGTGTCGCAGCAATCCCTGCCTTGACGCGGCAATTTCTAGGGTTCCCTCCGCGGCGCATTTCATGTTTAGGGTTTCGTGCATCACCCTGTTCATTTCTTCTATAAATTCGAGGGTGATTTCTCAGTTTCGAGGCACCAAATCATTCTCTCTTCTCTCTCTTATGCTCTAGCCTAAAAACAAGCCTTCCCTATTCTCTCACCATACATCCCTTCGGAGTCCATACAACACCCGAAATTCCATACTTAAACCAAGGTGTGAAAGGTAGAACGAATTGAGGGTTTGGACCAAATTCAACTCTACTTTTATTTAATTTAATTTCAATTTGATTTTATATTTTTATTGAAGTTACTAACAATTTATTCATGATGTAGCAATTCAAAGAAACGCGGAACGTGAGTAATTAGTTCACTTAATTACTCTTTTTATTATTCTTGTTGCTAGTATCATGATTAGGTTTATTATGATTTGATTTGACTATCGTTATTATTATTGTTGAATTGCTTCCAATATTGATGTTAATTTTATTATATTTACTGATTACCATATTGCATGTTTAATGAGAATGTGTAATTAAATATAACGCTTAATAAGATAATTTGGACGACCGGTTTAGGTTCCTTTTTAATCTTGTTGTTTAATCAAGTGATCACTAATATTTTAGAATTACATGTTGCATTAACATTCAACCAATTTAGCCCAATATAGTTTGGAGAAAATTGAATCTTTGTTTGTATGCCTTTGAGATCGCAGGAAATACTTTTCACAATAAGAATCGAGTAGAAGCCAATACAGGTGAATGTGACTCCATGACTCACTTCGTACCATCATCCTCGATCCTCCTTTCGTGGTTTCGAACCATATGGAGTTAGTAATCTCATGGATTATAATTGGGGTGTAACCTTCATGGGTCAATCGTTGTCCCTTAATCGTGGTTGCCTTAAATGATCAGTGAACGGTTTACAAGTTCCTTAAAAACTTGTTGGCGGCTCCCTACTTTGCTTTGTCCCTAATCGTATGTCAATTTCTACTTCCTATGAGTGCCAAGCATATTCACCATATGCTTAAGTAGGCGCACTTCGAATGACGCCTACAAGAATCTTATGCAAATATTAGTTTGTGTTTTGGGGCAAATAGTTGATAATCTTTCATCGTGCATGTCTCCTATAAACATAATAGTTTGGTGCAAGTTGTACATCATGCATAATCCTGAGTTTCTAGCTAAACTTCAGAGTTCAGAACTGGTAATTCGAGTATAAAGTTCAGGTTGGTGTATGGTTTTATTTGTAAAGGATAGTTAAGGGAGATCTTGTTTTTCTAGTTTAAGTAGTTCCTATTTAACCTGCACTGATGTTTCTTAAAGTAATCAACTGTTCAGACTAGTGACCAGAAGACATATACGATATATTAAGTATAAGTGTATAACAATTAGCCATAACATGAAAAGAGGTGAAATAATTTGGTTATTCCTTCTCTAAAAGATTAAAAATATGATCCATTTTTCTGTTAAATAGCTTAGGAATGTTAAATTTTATCATTATGATTTTCATTGAACTTGACCCTGAACTTAGTTCAGAAATAAGTCAGGCAACGTTCCAATGATAACATGAAGGATTACAAAAAAGAATTACCTTGATACACAACCAAAGGGCAAAGGATGACTGAAACTTGTCTTGGAACTTTATTACTAGATTCACACTATTCTATCATTCTATGACTGAAACTAATTACGAAGTTTAAATTACTACTCCGTATTAATTATGTTAGCAAATAGCAAGACTCAAGCTTTGATTGCTTATTCAATATTACCACCTTTAAACAGTTAAGTTTTAGACCTTTACATTCCTTAAGGATTTAAAGCTCCTGTTATTGTCAAGAAACTGGAAAAAGATGTTTCCACAAATTGTCATTTTTCAAAATTATCATTTTTAAATATGTTTGTTTAATTTTTGATTCATTATGTTCCGTATGACAATATATCATACTTCCTCCGTTTCTTTTTAATAGATACATTTTTTTAGTCACGTTTGCTAGTGCACAAATTCAACCATTAATTGTTGAGAACTCTCTCTCCTCTCTCTAAACCCTAGCCTACATTGTTGAATTTTGAAGGGGTAACCGATGAAAAGCCCCAATGTTTGAATTTTTAAAAGCTTTTTTTAGGTTTATAATAATGCTTCCTCCTTTTGAGAGGAACTTTTCTCCCTTGAAAGAAAGGGTAGTTTTCGACCTCCTTCGAAAGACAAGGGTTTTTCGGCCTCCTTCGAAAGACAAGGTTTTTTATCCTCTTTTTGGGGAGAAATTTCTTAGTGTTGAATCCATGATATTATTTCGTTGGTGAAAAATTATGCGAGATCGCAAAGGTTATCAAGATTTCAAATACCGATAGATGAATCAGAAGGAAAACATCCTTACGACTACAAAGAATCGTTAGATTGTCTCTCCAACAAGGCTGTATTTTCCAGCGATATAAGCGGGAGATATTCCACGGTGTAAGATCTACTCGAAGATCGTAGTTTTTATGAAGGAAATTTTTATTTGATTCAATATCTTATATATTTTTTAAAGTTGAATCTCCTTTATAGATGTCGCATGACTTTTTATTAATGAATTATTTTTACTATTCAAAAAAAAAAAAAAAATCAACCATTAATATCTTTAATTATCGATAAGAAAAAATTATAAAAAATTGATATTTTGAAAATATATACTGACGAATCTAACAAGATTCCACGTGATTATATCTTTCATTACATATGTTTAGGGTAAAAATTACCCCACCACGTGGCCCAATTCTAAAGTGACACTTGGCTCAATGAAAGGGCGACACATGTCCTAATAGGAAGATAACATGTGGTAGCTATAGGAGCACCTGAATAAGAGAGAAGACCTCCTTACATCAGGTGGCCCAAATCCCTAGAAAAGCGCCCTTGACAGCGCCCCCAAGGACACGTGTCCTCACCTGATTGTGCCGCCAATCAGTGCTCTCCCTTTTAGGATACCAACCCTAGAATGCGCACACTCCCACCCCTATAAATACCCCAATCATTAATGATGGGTGGGGTGGATTGAGACATCATAAAAACGGCATACAAAGTGCTTAAACTTCTCTCTATTTTCTCTCTCTAAGTATCTACGTTTTCCGGTTACTAACTTAACTGTCGGAGGCGAATATTCCATCACTGGAATATTCGTTGTTTTGCAGGTGTCTGCGACCGTCTGAACATATTCACGACCTATATCATGAGGGATTCCAAAAAACCCCGAAACAACATGTAAATCACAAAACACGGTTGAAGGGAAGTTTATGAATAGTGCTAAATGTACCCCAAAAAAAAAAACAAAGGTAGTATGATTTTGAAAAACGAAAAACAAAACCAACAACATCTTGGTTTGGTAACCCTCATATTCAATGTTCGGATTGGATTTGGTTTTGGCGATCAAATGAGAAGGCAGAAAAAAAGGCCTCATGACCAATGACCAAGTCCCTTCCATATTGATTACTGACCCATGGCCCGATCACAGTAACCCAAATACTTAAAAAAAAATAAAATAAAATAAAGCACATAAAAAGGTAGGGGTCTGAAATCCCTAATTGCAAATCTACTTCTTCCTTCCCAGAACAATTTCTTGACCCATTTTTCCCACTGATCTACAGGTGCGACTTCTCTCTTTCGAATTTACTCGTCTTTCTCAATTATTTGATTATTCAACAATGGTAGTACTGTAGTAGAGTGTTATTAAATCATCAGATCACAATTATTACATGTATAATTTAGGGTTTTTAATTTTGTTTTGATTCATTCATTTTACCAATGATCTTTTCATCCTTGATTGAATTCATTTAGCTGAATTAATTTCCATGTTTTGTTCTCGTTTTCATTTTGATTGATCTCATACTATTCTAAGATTACTTCGCTTGGTTCGTTGAATCGAATTTTTGTGTCGGGTTTGATGTTTTAACTCCGATTTGATTGTCATGCTCTATTGAGTTGGTGTGGCAAGTGTTCATTGAAAGTGGCATCTGAAATTTTCAAGATGATGTTCAACCTTATTAGTGAAATGTAAAAACCTAGTTTTATAATTTTTGTTTATTGGTAAATGTTGTTTAAACTATGGGACCGGTGATAAATAATTGACTGCAATTATCTTATTTCATACTTCCTCCGTTCCTTTTTAGATGACACGGCTTGACTTTTGCACTATTCACAAACAACACTTTGACTAGCTTTTGTGATTTGTAGCTACGATAAAAGATAATCATGTGGGATCTTGTTTGAATCGTCTTAATGTATATTTTATTAATATCCACTTTTTATAATTTTACAATGTTTATAATGGGAGATATAACTCGTGAAAATTGTGTGTTGGCAAACGTGATAAAAGAAACGTGTCATCTATTAAGGAACGGAGTAAGTATATTGAACTGTTTTTTTATTTGTTTTTTATTTTTATTTATTTTTTGGTTTTATAATCTATGCGGGTAGATGCATTGTAGGATGAAACCATGAAAATCATTTTTTGCTTGATTAGATGATGAGATCACTCGCTTATTTTTTTGAAGGAATTTGTATTGCATTTAATTGCAAATGTACTGAATTTTGACCATTGTTTGGAAGCATAGTGCATTTTACTTGGATTTACACGTTGGAGGAGTTTTTTTGTTTAAGGAAGGGGCGGGCATGGGCTCTGGGAGTGGACGTGGGGAATGTATGTACTAATTGTAGTATTAGTGTTTTGTGTGGCTTTATCAGCATTTGTTCTTCTTTCACTTCTTGTAGATGGCCAAGATTGACCTATAGGCAATATTGCATGATTGGGGAAGCATTTTCTGTTAATTATTACTTTGTTTATTTGTTGTTAGTGTTGGCATCATCAAGAAAGGTTCTTGGCTTTGTGTTATTTATAAACTGTTGCCTGCCTTTTATGCTCTTTAATATTTCATGTCATCTTGCATTGCACAGTTGCACTTGGCCTATTGAATTCGTATTTTTGCGTCATTTTCCGAGGGTGCTTCTTTTTCTCTCTCTCTCTGTGTGTGTGTGTGTGTTAACTGGTGAGAGTTGAATGCTCCTTACTAGCAACTAGATATAATAAGCAAGGCTTAAGTTCTTTTTTTTTTGAGCAATTGTAGTTTTCTTATCTGTTGTAATATAATGTTTTAAACATGTGTTTCTTATAAGTCATCGATGTTCTGTTGCAGGGCAAGGATAATTTTTGGATTACTCACACTTCAACTTCTTAATTATGTAAGTATATATGTTCTCTTTATTACAAACTAATATGGGTATTAATTATTACATTATTGGATGGAGCCTCTTATTCTTTGGATCCTGCAATTTTCTTAGTTTCTATAGTTGTTATACTGCTTCCATGTGTCCTTTTCCCCATTTTTGTTTTACTTGAAAAGTCAATTTTCATTATGTTAATACAAGACAAGTGTTCATTGTTTAATAAACGTCTTTTGTTTTTACTAATATCATGGAGATATATTTTAAAAAAATTTGCAACGTGATAAATTCAATTGCCATAGTTGGTCAATGCTGATTGTAGTTGCATTAAGTTTAAGGTGATCATCTTGTTGCTGGTAGTGGTGGTAGAGCTTGAGAAGGATTTTATGTTACTTTTTTACC